GAAATAAAACAAAATGAAACAAACAAAAAAAGCACAAAGAGAGTGCCTGCTTTTGACCAGGGGCACAAAACTGTTTAAAACAACCACCGCCTCTATAAAGGAGGTCTGTGGGTAAATGGGAATGCCTCTTCTGTCTATGGTACCTCTCTTCCTTTTGGGGATGAGGTGAACAACTTCCTCCTGGCCTCACCTCTGGCTCTTCTGCAGGTACACTCTGTTACTACAGATGTCATGTAATGAGGAACCCTTCTCCCTTTGCTCTTCCCCCACTGCTAGGGTGAATTTGAGCAAGAGGCTTAGTGGGAATTCACTCTTTTTAAATTCTAGAAAAATGAGTCCTTGAGTGGATGTAAGAAATTATCTTTTTGTATATTATTATAAACATCACCCCATCTGTTTTTGTTTTTTTTAAGAAGAGGCAAAAGTATAAGATGGAACTTAATTTGAGACCAGTGTTTGTATTTTATTCAGCCTTGCATAGCTCATTCCTCATTATGGCCTGTTCCTCAGGTGCTCTTTAAGTAGATTCTTAAAGGGTGAGTCAATACTGCGAAGAGCTTGCAGATCAGGAACCAACAGGCAACTGCACTTTCGTCCTACTGTGATTGGAACTCTTTTTTGAATTAAAGATTAATCTGTGAACTTATTGTATATAGGGGGATATTCTTTATTATCTTCCCATCTAATTTTGCTAGCCAAGTACTAAGATACAAGGATTTAGGATCCAAAATAGTTTTAGATGGAATGAAGATTGGCGGTGTTGGCAGTGACGGTAGCTATGGGAAATGGTTGGCACGTGACATGATATGGAGTCACTTTGTGTGAAAGTTAGTTCCTCAATGTTCTCTTCATAATTCTGAATACTCCAAGACTGGAATCTCAAGTCAATGCCTGCATAGCCTCAATGTTTCTTTAACACTGCCTAATCTCTAAGCTCGGAGAGGCAAGATCACACAGCAAATTCTGATAACATTGTTTCATTTGCATTTTTATGGTTATCTGTCATTAGTTGGAAATCATAATAGTGTTTAAATTATGAATGGATTTTTTTCCAAGATAACACAGTTTAAAATTGTGTGTGTGTGTGTGTGTGTGTGTGTGTGTGTGTAAGAAGAATATTCTATCATGATACGAGTTACAGCTCGCAAATGGGTGGTATGGGAAGGCTGATGCTTGGGAACACTGGGCTAAAGGAAAGATTTGGAAATTCCATTGCCAAATGCCTCATCTAGGGAATGAGTTGCAGGCAGACCCATGTGGCCAGCTGATGGCTTCCAGATGTAGATTTGGAGACTGGGTAGAAAAGGCGAGGAGCAAGCCCATGTGTGGCTTATGGTGTGGAAAATTTCCAAGTCGCCTCTTTTCAAAGTGGCAGAATGGCAAAGCTGAGTTCTTCTCAAGCTGATGGTTCTTACCAGAGGAAGGATGAAACCCTCCTGTGAGGGTGTGACATGTGCGAAGGCATGTCTTAGGTATGTTTCCCAGCCATGGATTGCTTTTGTCACAGTGCCTTGGCTAATACACCCTTCTCAAGAACATCTGTTCAATAAAGGATTCGAATTTGACTGTACCATAACAATACTTCTTGTGAATTAGAGCTCTTTTATTCTATATTTCTATTGGATGTACTAAAGACAAACATCATCCCGGAAGTTTTCTGACTATCCCCATCCTTTCTTTCATCTTTCTTTATCCTACATTCTTGATGCCTTGGTCTTTTCTGTCCATGTGTTTTCACATTGGTGTACATCAATTTTCCAAGTAGGTGTGCATTAGGAATATCCCATTAACTAACCGGATCCTATTGTATTGTTGGCTCTCTGCTTGACAGTTCCAAACACTTGGGTTGAGCTCGTATTACCTTTGAATGGTCGGTCACAGAAACACTGCTGCTCGAACTGCAAAAATTGAAATTGGATTCATTTCCCCCATGCCACAGTTTCATGATAACCCAGTCAGAGGGAAGCCGACTTAGTTCATCAGCACTCTCCAAGGGCAGGCAGGCAATTCTTTTCCAAAGAATCTGTCGATTTTCAGACTCTGACCCAGACCGTTTCTGAAAGTTCATTTGATAATTTTCTGATCCGCCTCCTTTTTGCCTTTTCTACTGACTTCACTTCTATTTCATTTCCCAATCCTGAACATCAGTGTTTAAAGAGCCCCTTGTTATGGAGTGTATGCTAAAGTGCTCCGTTAGGCAATATATTTATTACCTGGAGTGAAATGGCTTTTCACAGCTAGGCAGCCTTCCTACCTCTATATTTAAGAAAGTTGCTTCTCACATTTTATAGGACAATAGTTCTGTGCCAACTAGTAAAGAAAGAGAAAAGTGTGGTCTCTTTCTCTTTCTCTCCCTCTCTCCCTCTCTTTCCCTCTCCCTCTCTCTCTCTCCCTCCCTCTCTCTCTCTCCCTCTCTCTCTCTCTCCTACTAAACCTCTACTAAACCACCACCCTTCTGGGGCTCATCTTCCCTCATCCTCTACTAAATAAACCTCAGGATCAACTTGTTCCACAAACTTCCCTCCCTTCTGCCTCACTGCGTTTTTTCCGCTTTTCTCCCACCCCATTCCTTGTACTTTGTCTCCATCTACTGGCTGGTTGCACCATGCTCTCATTGCAGGGTTTTCCACTCCTGTCGCTTGCCTCAAAATCACACGTGTGTCAGAAACCCCTTTCCTTTCTCTGGACATAGGATGCTATTTCCAGAGATAGGAACACACACTACTTCCTGTCCAGGACAGGATCTCACCTTTCCTCTCCCTGAT